AAAAAAAAAAAAAAAAAAAAAAAAAAAAAAAAAAAAAAAAAAAAAAAAAACATAAAAGGAACCGTATCATTTTCAGGGGAATGGAGAGTGCCACGTCGGATGCTTATGTGGTACTCTTGACACGTGGCGAGATTTGAGCCATCAGATCCCTCAACGATTTGTAGCCAAGAATTACCGGGAAGTTTCTGGAAGGTCAGCTCCTTTTTCCCCCCTCAAACCTTCACAGGCCATGTTTGGTCTGTGTCGTGGCAGTTTCTTAGCCTTCCACGTGTCGGAAATTCGCTCGAAGTCTAATCATTATAAATTGCCACGTTTTGGTTTCAGCTACTGGACCCCTTTAGCGCACCTATATACGTCATCGGTGTGGGGTCCTGTCTATTTTGCCAATAGTTCTTTTATTTTATTTATTTTTATTGATTTTTTAATGAAAATTGAGTACCAAAAAGGGGTAAAAATGGTTTAAATTATTATATTTTAAAAAAGCTTGAATATATCGAATAGAAAAGTGTTACAGAACAACACATGATGAAATCTCAGCCACTAAATAAATTGTCTTTTAAAAAATAAAAAAAATAAAAAAGTTAGTGGTGAATTGATGGATAGGGCTTATACAAAGCCACGAGATTCGGGCTATTGACGCTTCTTGATTTTGGGCCTCAAATTATGGGCCCGCTCCATCCTATTGGGCCCATATTTGAATGACGTGTAACTCTGACACCGTTTTGTTCATCGATCAAATGATTGGGTGCGGCTGGTCCCACGGGAAGATCCGATAGGCATTCAGTGGCTTCTGTACGATCATGAATCAAGTGGTGCATAGGGCCTCGACGAATGTATTATTCTTGAGCGGCTGAGATTCAATGATTGAATGGGTCAGCTGAGCGACATGTGGTTATAGTCTTAAATTTTCCTTTCGACATGTCGCCCCTACCACAGTCACTTAACGCAAAGCCCCCGCTTCTGGCCAATTAGGAATTCTCCACGTGCATTCCGTACATTTAGAGGGGTTGAATTATTGAAGAATTATTTTTATTGAATTTAATTTCATTTAAACAATTCCATTTTTATTTTATAAGCTCATTAAAAATAAGTGGAGACAAGCATATAATTAATTACAATATAAAATAATTAGATTCTTTCCAAAAAAAAAAAATCTATCATAAAATAAAATTTATGCCTTTTAGTAAATTTAATGAGTAATTCAATAAAATTAAAAATTTAGAGTAATAAGTTTAAGGGATAAAATTATATTTAACCGAAATAAAATTAATAGTAAATAAAATAAAGAAATAAAAAGTCAAAGATCTATAAGGCAATTTATTAAAATAATTTTTTTTAAGCAACTTTTTCTTGAAGTTAAAGGATAGGATATTTGTAATATCATTATATCCCAACAAACAAGTGGATGTGTTTGGTTTTCTAAGACGTATTCATCAAAATTTTATAAGAATTATTATATATGTTATTTCATATGTCACGTAATTGATTTTTCTGCTAATTTTTTATTAATTAATTATTATCAACAATTTATATATATATATATATATATATATATATATATATATATATATTTACTTTTATTATATTAATTTATGATAATTATTGATTAGAAGTAAAAAAAAACAATTAGAGGTTAGAAGTTTTACCTTGTAAATAAATATGTTAATGATGTCTCGTTCAAAGTTTTGAAATTTCGAGGATACATTTAAAAATTCAAAACTTAAATAAAAATATTAACTTTCAAATGAGACTTAAAAATTGGTAAGTTATATAAAAAATATTAAAATAACAACTTTGTCTAATATCAAATTAAATTTGTATGTCTTAAATGAAGATCATTGTGATCTTTTAAGATCAATTACAACATTAGTTTCAAATTGTGTTTCAACCCGAATTTAATTTGGGATTTTGGAAAAAAAAAAAAAACCAATTTAAAAATATAAGCTCATAAATTAAATAATTAAAAAAAAATCAATACCAATGTTCTAAAAGCCTGAAAAAAAAAACAATTTAAAAATATAAGCTATGTTCTACAAGCCTCAAAGTAGGGACATTTGTTAAAGGGGAAAATAGAAAATGGTGTCTGAGCCCGAGTTCGAACCAGAGACCTCTAGTGTGTGAGACTAGCCCACCTAGACTGATACGTATAATTTTTATTTTTAAAATAAAATTAATGATATTGCATTATGATTAATTGTTATTATTATCGAAGATCATTTTAATTATAGAGAAGTACACCATCCATCAGTTTTAATTTAGATGTATTTAATTTAAAATTTTCAAAGTATCATTATTATTTTTTAATTCATTTTTATAATACAGTTAGTAGATAATCTAAAATAAAAAGAAGCTCAATTATTGCGATTAGGGTACACAGTTTTTTTTATTATTTAACAAATATTATTTTTATGCATTTATTTATCAAATATTAAACCATGTTTAATGCCACCTATTATTATAATAGATCATCATTAATCACCATGTTATTGGTAATTAAATATTTTTAGGTTCATTGACGTTCAAAATTATGAGAGAATATATTTTTTAAAATTAAAATCTTAAAAATTTAACCAAATGGAAGAGAAGGGTTATGAATTGGAATAACCACATTCGTGTTTCTTTTTCTTTTTCTTTTACTTTTTCGAACTGCTAAAAAATGATTTTAATTAAAAAGAAAAAGAAAAAGAAAAAAGAAAAAGAAAAAGAAAAAAGAAAAAGAAAAAGAAACACGAATGTCTGAGCCCGGGTTCGAACCGGGGACCTCTAGTGTGTGAGACTAGCGTGATAACCAACTACACTACCCAGACTTTTTTGCTTATAGGTAACATCTAAAATAATATATAGTATTTGCATTAATTTATTATAAAAGAATCGTATTTCTTCCGATATATTCAAAATGGACACCAATTAATAATTAATAATTTTAAAGGAAACTGTCTAAGTTGTGTTTGATTAAGAAAGGTTGAAAATAAAATTTTCTCCGACCATTTTTCTTCTTTAGGTAAGAAAGTAGTTTACCTTTTATCTTTAAATAAGGTTAAGATGAGCTAGACGAGATTAAATTAGAATGTCTTGAAATGGAACACGTATAATTCTTGCCTCTTTGAAAGACCTATAACAAGGTCGACTTCAACGTCACAATGAAACCAACTATAGGATCGACCTAAATTTTACCGTGCTAGATTGGTGAGGTCCATTTGGGCTTCTTCTTTTCTCCTCTATATCGTGACTCAATTTTTGCGTGTTGACTTAAATTTGTCCTACGTTCAAATTTTTCTTATGAATTTCACGTATGATTTTTATTGTAATTTGGGCTTGTCCATTTGATCAAATATTACATTATAGTTCAGTCTTTCTACGTAATTCAACTCGATGCATCTATTGGCTATCTCAACCTTTTATTGTGTCGAAAAAATAAGTAAATTTTCTAAACCTCGATTATAATTTGTTATTAACTTTTTTTAATATATGAATATTATATTAGAAGGTTGATTTGAAGTTTTGTCAAAAACAATTAACTACAAAGACAAACATATATTTAAAATAAATAAATAAATATATGGATAAACATGAAAGTTGACTAAATATTAAAAAAAAGATGAAATAAAATTGAGAGCAATAGCCAATCTGATTCATTAATTAGTGAATCAATGAATCAGATCACATGTGCTTAGCTTAATCCATTTTGTTTTAAAATTGTATGTATTTTAAAAAAAATATATAATGAATAAATTGAAGAAAAATACCCCAAATATTACGATAAAAGGCGTAAGGAAAGAGGCAGTGAGGAGGAGGCGGCGGCGGGCAGAGTGGCGTTGCCCGCATTTGACAATTCCAATTTCCAATTCAAAATTCAATTCCTTCACTTACTTTTCCAATACCAATTAATCAAATCCCATCTTCTTCGACCTCAATTCCCCTCTGCAACTGCCTCCCTCTCTCATCCTTCAACAATGGCTTCCCTCATCACTTTCTCTCTCCTATTTTCTCTCTCTCTTCTCGCCGCCGCCTCCCCTTCCCCGTATCTCTCCCCCATTTTCTCCAGAAACTACAACGCGATGTCCACAACGTTAAAGATCTTCACCTACATCCCATTCAAACCTGTCTCCTTCCCTTCCCCTGCCGAATCGCTTTTCTACAAATCGCTTCTCGACAGCCCCTACTCTACTCACGATCCTGACCACGCGCACTTCTTTTTTATTCCTTTTTCTCCCGATACTTCCACGCGCTCTCTTGCGCGTTTGATTCGCACGCTCCGTTCTCAGTTGCCCTATTGGAATCGGACTCTTGGCGCTGATCACTTCTTTCTCTCGTCGCCTGGCGTTCGCTATGCTTCTGATCGGAACATTGTCGAATTGAAGAAGAATGCTATTCAGGTCTCCGGTGGGCCCGTGCCGGTTGGGAATTTTATTTCTCATAAGGACATTACGTTGCCGCCGGTTTTCGATTCGTCGGAGTTTTCTTCTTCTTGGATTCCGGCTCCGGCGACGGAGAGGGTGTTGGGTTTCGTCGGGTATGGGTGGGTGAGAGATCGGGTTTTGGTGAAGGAGTTGATTGAGGATCCCGAGTTTTTCATGGAGTCTGAGCCGCCGCCGCCGTCGGAGAGGTGGAACTACGGGGAGAGATTGGGGAAAAGTGATTTTTGTTTGTTTGAATACGGCGGTGGGGGTGTTGTTTTGAGGATTGGGGAGGTGTTGCGATATGGGTGTGTGCCGGTGGTTATTTCTGACCGTCCGATTCAGGACTTGCCGTTGATGGACGTGTTACGGTGGCAGGACATGGCGGTGTTCGTCAATGGCGGCAAAGGAATTGAAGGAGTGAAGAGAGTATTGAGGCGCGTGGATGGGGAGAGTCTCGTAAAAATGAAGAGACTGGGTGCGGCGGCGGCACAGCATTTTGTGTGGAACTCGCCGCCTCAGCCGTTGGATGCTTTCAATACGGTGGCGTATCAACTTTGGTTGAGAAGGCACACCATCAGATACGCCGAGAGAAAAGAGTGGGCCCAGAGTTGAAAAATGGAAGCTACGTTTGCGTCGGGTTTGGACTTTTAATTAATTGTAATTTTTTTAGTGAATATTTAATGTGAAATAAACATTTACTGCATTAATAAAGTTGGGCTATATGAATTGTTCTAGATTTAAATAAATTAAAATTTTATTGATTTTTTTTTTGAAATTCATTCATCAATTGAATTTTCTATATTTCTTAATTAAAAATATCTATTTTTATAAGCCACATATTTAAGGTGAAAGTAGGGTAAAAAAATTGACGTAGGCAAATTTGATATATATATATATATCATGAACCAAGAGTTTGGAGGTTCAAATCTCATCTCTACGTACGGTTGAACTAAAAAAATAATTGATAGGTAATTCGATGCAACATGTCACTTAAATTAAGCAAGATGATATAATAAAAACATAACATGAGAACACTAAGTAGGTAGGTCATAGTTGGGATATTGATAGCAAAACTCGTGTCAGTAAAGTAGAGTAATTACAAACCTAGTGGATGTGCACGGGTTAGGCATAGCTTGACTTGACTTGTGGAGTCCTCACACCCTTGCCGTTTTAAATAGGTCAATTTAACCTCTTTTTAACTAAGTACTACTCAACATAAACCATAGTCGGGTTAAATTTTTTTTTGGTTTGAGTTGAATTTTTGAAAAACAAAAAATTAAACTCAAGCATATTAACATTTTTTTTATTTGGTGAACTCGACTGAACATAAAGTTATAATCAAACTCGACCGAACATAAAGTTATAATCAAACTCTACCCTACACAAGAGCATACATTCTCAAACCCAACAGCTCTTTGTTTTAACAACTACACATCAGAACGTTATCAATATCCAAGCATGTCCAACAACATCATTCATTCAGATTCACAACAAACAATGGAATGAAAGAGCTTTTTAAAAGGAAAAAAGAAAGAAGAGAGAAATATCAGAACAAGGGTTCGAGGGCGACTTCACCGAACCATAGTACGAGAAGTTATTGAGAGGGTTGACCACAATGTGGTCGTCGTTTCTCTCATATATCTAACCATTATGGAAGCGACAACCACAAAAGACAGAAGCTACATTAAATAATTTCTCCAAGTCAAGAATAATAGAAAGAAATATAGTGTGAGTGATGAATAATAAAGCGAGAAAACTGTAACGTTGATTAGATAGAAATGTAGGCACAACAACGCAATCTTAGTTAGTACTAATATTCTACAATCATACTCCTGCTACCAAAGAAAATTTCTAAGCTCATCATAATTGCATTTGGCCTCACCACTCACACCATACATGTATGTATCTCTCTTCTTGAGTTGCACAATGTTTTGAAGCTCAGCAACTTTGTTACCCCTCGCCACTTCCCCCAGCTTTAGAGCTGAACACGCCTGCCTGCCTGTAAAATTCAAGCATTATTCAACCACCTGAAAATCGATACATTGAGTAGCAAGGAAGAAGCTGGACCGAGCACGCATGACATGGTCAATGGAAATCATTTGGTACTAACGTTTAAACCGCTTTTGATATTTCATATACATGCAGATTCGCGCAGTGGCTTAAACATAGAAAACGAGAAAGACCTCCAATCTAGAAAAAAAAATAAGGCCTAAGCCCACTGCTAGCAAGTATCGTTCTCTTTGGGTTTTCCCTCAACGTGTATGCTAGGGATAGGTTTCCACACCCTTATTAAGAATGTTTCGTTCACCTCCCCAACCGATGTGGGATGTAATTAAGCCTATAATAAGGATGAAATGCGTCTACGCAAATAGAAATAGGAGCATGCGCACAAATACACAAACGCGTTACCAAAAGATATAATGGTGAGTTTACCTTAGTTAAGACCAGGACAAAATGCATTCTGCCATTACGTTCTTGCTGGCACCATGAATTTACTACCCTTTTTGTCAGCTGGCTTAAGGATCTGGAAAGAGCACATCAATTCTTCGTCAACGCTCATCAGAGCACCGGCATTGTCAAATTCACCACAGTAGTTTGGAGCTGAAAATATCGTGACAAGTCGTCTATCGGCAAAGAATTCATATCCATCCTCCACAACCTAAGCCAACAACATTGTTATCTCAGAACTCGGAGAAGAAAAATCAGTGAGAAAAATGAGCGATGTCGAAAATGTGCTGATTCTACCTGATGCGCACGACAGACAAGATCCAAGTCATGTGTTGTCAAGAACTCTGCTACTTTATCAGGGCCAAAGGTGTATGAAACTCCTCTATCATTCATTCCCCAACCTTTGACATCTTTACAAGGATCCGACCATAGCAAATCACAAAGCAAGCCAGTGTCGGGAATGACTGTCGGACGAGACAGGTTTCGTATTTGATCCAAGTTTGTGAGATCAGGGGAGAGACCACCGTGCATACACAATATTTTTTCATCAATTAAAGCCGCAACAGGAAGACAATTGAACGAGTCGGTAAACGCTTTCCAGAGTCTCACATTAAAGCGTCGCTTACATTCATCATAAAACCCATAAATCCTATTAATAGAAGCGCATTCGTGGTTTCCTCTAAGAAGGAAAAAGTTTTCAGGATACTTGATCTTGTAAGCAAGCAAAAGACATATGGTTTCTAGACTCTGCTTGCCACGATCAACGTAGTCGCCAAGAAACAAATAATTGGCACTAGGAGGAAACCCCCCATACTCAAAAAGCCTCAACAAATCCGAGAACTGCCCATGAATGTCACCTGCAAGTGCAAAACAAAAATGAAAGCCATTCTTTGTACAAGAACAAAAGATTTCATTCATGATATGAATCCCCATGCTACTACTTCTTGAACTCTAGCTAATCGAAAGTTCATTCTCGGGGGATTCATATCAACAATGTTCATCAAAGACGCTAGCTAATCGAGAGTTTCACAATGTTCTTTCCCTTCGAACCTTTAACCAGAATCAAGAACAACCAAGAAACGAGAAACAGAAAAAATGGGAACCCATCAAACATAATCTCATACTTCACACGAACATGTAATCATTCTCAAAGCAACAACTAAATCGAACATATTAATCCAACTCCCTCCAAGAAAACACGAGGGGTCAAAGCTAGGTCAGACGGATTGACTTCGAACGAAGAATCAAGTTCATTGTGTTGAAAGAAGAAGAAAAAAATAACGAAAGGGGCAGATTAAAACGGACCGCAGATTTTGATGGGTGCTTCGAGCTCGAGCAAATTGGGTTGCTGAATGAAAATCTCCCTGGAAGAAGCACACAGAAGCTTGATCTCGTTCTCGGAAAGCTGAACCTGTTTGCCTGGTCGCGCTAATCGGACTTCGGTGAGGCGTCTGATAATGTCATCCAATAAAGCAGGGTCGATTCCTCCCTGCCCCTGCGAGGCCATTCAATACCCAATCTGCGAATTCGAAGTTTCTCGGGTTTTTCTCTTTTTCCGCCCTTTGTTCAACGGACAGAGAGCTTCGAACGAAAACCTAGAAATCGAATTGAATTGAATTGAAAGGACGGTTTTTTCTTAACATTTTCGTCTCATCTCTCTCTCTCTCTCTCTCCCTTTTTAATTCTTTTCTATCCGTTTCTTTGCTTTGATTTACTTTTCTTTATCTCATAAATGACCCAACTTACGATTCAAATTTTAAAAATGGCTCATTAGTTCATCATTGTAGCTTTGAATTTCGACTCATTTGAGATCAAAATACCATTTTTTTTAGAGTAGAAATTCGAATATTTCACCTATATATAAATGATGGATACTTTACACTATTTAGAGAACGATCGTATTACAACGATTGTTGAGCTTTCAGTGTTTCTATTATTGTTTGTGCTTAGTTGATATTAGTTGATATTTGAAGCTTATTCTGGCAAGAGACCATTGTGTTGTTGATGAAACGAGCTCTCATGGCTTTACTTTGGGCTTCTCCAAAAGGCCTCATAACAATGGAGATAGTATTCCTTGATTATAAACCCATAATCATTCCCTAAATCAGTAGATGTGGGACTTCCAACAAGAAGAACCTCTCAACAACGCCTAGATGCTTTTCTCACCGTCCTATTAAATCTCACACAAATATAATCAAATCCAAAAAGCAAAAGAATCAAATTTTATGAATATGGCATTTGCTTTGCTTTCTTCAACCAAGAACAAATGCCTATCAAATTGGGACTTTTGTTTATTTATTTATTTATTGGGCTCACTTCTTTTTGTCGGGTTTAGTTTATTGAGAGAAGAGACGTAGAGATACCTTGTTAATTGGATTGCTTTAAAAGTAGGGTTTTTGACATGATGTGTTGGGTTGTTCTATGTATATATTCTATACAATCTAAAACCTCGGTTTCGACGTTGTCAAAAACAAAAGCTTTCTTCCCATTGATTCAAATACGTCGAAGAATAATTTTATGGATAAGATAGGTGACAAAAACTAATGTAGTCATTGACTTTTAACGTTGGTGACAACATATACAGCTTTGAAAATCGTGAATAACAAATACGTGACAAAAGTCAACATTGGTTTTTGTCACCACTTTTATTGTTCATTAAAAAAAAATCACGATTGTCGTTAGTTCAGTTACAACTCAAAGCTCGTATCAATTTACATCATTTTTTTGCTAATAAATATATATGCGAATAAATATTATGGTAAATTAGATTAAAAAAAAAAAAAGTAGGAATGTAGAAAAGAATAATAGAAGCATGTGGAGAAGTATATAGGTTTAATTAATTTGAAGATTAAAGTGGATTCCTTCTGCAAAATCTGTGGTATATATTTATTTACTTGCCTATCTCTGACGTCATCAAAGAGTTTATTATTATTATAATTGATTTTATAAAGATTGTGATAATCATTAAATAATTATTTACGAAGAATTGCAATTATTCTGAAGAAAATAACTTTATTGAGTTTTTTTTTTTTTTTTTTT